ATTTTTCTTCTATAATTTGAGGAAAAACTTTGTTACGTTTGTACTTAATGTAATGTAGAACCCGATTTTTTAACGTTTACTTCAATAAAAGAGTTCAATTGGTACGCTAACCTTAACCAGTCTTATTTTACACAGATTATATATTTTATTCTATGTATTCAGCTTATCAATTACAATTTAAGGTTCAGATTTTTAGGATCAGATCATATAAAAGGGTAAAGATGATGATGGTGTATGTAAACCTTTGACTAAAACAACATTCATCAATTGTGCATCTTATCAGTATCAACATGCAGTAACTGGTGTATTTAGCTTTCCACTGGTTGAATAGAACATATTTTGTATAATTGTGTTTCTCTTTTTGTGTTTGTATATACACTGATGATAAATAGAGGCAATAAAGCTCATCTGAGATTAAATAAGAGTTTAATTGATCAAAACAGAAAACAAAGCTGCTTTGAAGGCAGGTGTGGAGGAGTGTTAATGACGAAATTATAAAAAATAAAATTTGCATGAAAGATGTCCAGGCCTGCTTATTCTTAGAGTCCTGGAAGGGCTGGTGCATGTCTCCAGCTCCCTGGATGAGAGAAAGCACACAGAAGAGTCCTACAGAAACAGTTCCACTGGGATTTAAACCAAAACACCTTCTTTCTCCAAGGCAACAGTGCCTTCAGAGGAACAAGTAAACCAAAACATACAGATTAATTGCTGAACTCCAAGCTAACAGGTTAAACTGTAGTAAAACATGCTCCAGAGCAACCAAACAAAAAAGTTAACCAAACATTTCCTCCCATGCTTGGTGCTGCAGAGTCATGCTGCCACCAGTGGGAGGGACTGCATCTGAAGGATGGACACAAATGACTCTGAAGAAGAATGGATGGATGGAGATAAAGCAGGGCAATTTGAAAGATAAATAACTTTATAAATAATTTGGAAATATCTTGACAAAACAAAGTTTATGTTGTTTTCAAATCATAGGAAGGTACCTCAAACCCTGCCAGTAGTGTCCACTCTAGAGGGGAATGTCATTCAGGTGGTACATGAATATAAATACCTTGGAATTGTAATTGATGACCCTGTCACCTTCAGACCTTTTATTAATAAACTTTTGAAGAAATTAAATGTTAAACTGGGCTTCTTATTTCATAATATGACATGTTTTTCTTTAGGAGTAAAAAAGCACCTTGTCTCTGCCACGTTTTTATCGGTCTTAGATTACGGTGACCTTTTTATAAGAATGCTACTTCTTCATGTCTTCAAATGTTGGACTCCGTTTCCCATGCTTCATTAAGGTTCATAACAAACTGTAGAGCCATGACATCACTGTGACCTTTGCTCTCAGGTGGGATGGCCTTCCCTCTCTATGAGGAGGCAGTGTCATTGGTAAACTTTGTATGTACAAGGCCCTTCTTGGATTACTGCCCTCTTACATTTGTACCTTATTTACACAGAAAAGCATGGCTTCTTATGCCCTGAGATCCAACCACCAGCTGTTACTCACTGTTCCTTTTGCCCATACAAAAATAGGGAAGAAACCCTTTAGCTACACAGCTCCCAGTGCCTGGAATGTTTTACAAAGAAACTGGAAGTTGACTGAGTTTTTATCTTTAAATGCTGAAAGTGAAATAATTTGAAGCAGCTGTAATTATTTTACTTGATATGTTTTTTTATGTACCTGTCATTTAATTTAATGTATCTCTGTTTATTATATTACGTTGCTGCCACTTGACCAGGACTCCCTTGAAAAAGAGATTTTTAATCTCAATGGGATTTTTTTCCTGGTTAAATAAAATTTAAATACATAAAAATGTTGAATATAATTTTACAGTAATATATAAGGAGAAAAAAAAACGTGTTTTCTTACAGAAATAAACAGCAGATGAACAGATAATGCTGTTAAAGGTAGTGTTTCTGTTGTTCTGTCGTTCACCAGCAGAGGTCGCGCTTTGCTTGAATCAGAGCAGGCGTATGGATGGAGCATGATGATGATGATGATTATGACGCAACTTTTTTATTAAATGGACATTTAGAACCTTAAAGAAAATCATCTTTAAAAGAAACGCTATTGTTATCTTTTGAACTTTATTCTTAAAACAATCCTACAGCCATTGTAACAGACCACGAATCTGTGATTTGTTTGTTGTTATTGAACTTTTATATTATTTTGCTTTTCCATTTGAGAAGTTTACATCTTACTTAAACGCAACAATTAAAGCAATTTGCGCTAAAATGACAGAGTCGTGCTGCTGCCTCCCATGTGAACAATTCGTCACGTCATGAGACCGAAACTGCAAAACTGCGCATGCGCAAGAGACACTGGAACCTCCAAACAGAAACAAACGTGCAGCCAAGTTTGTAGTTTTTACCATCCGCCCTCTGAAGAGCAGAAGGGGCGTTCAGAGTATGTCGGTCAGCTTGGAAATTTCATTGCGATGAAAAATACAGATGGCTGCTCCTGTTTTATTTATCCATTTACCCTGCCCTTTTTAAAAAAAATAACTAGATATATTTAGTAAAAGGACTTTTTACATCATCTTTAACTGATCTACTTAAAGGCATAAAAGTAATAAATTTCATTTTCAGTGTGATAAATATCATCTTTAGATTACAAATGTAAGTGAACTCTCTAGGTTTAATATGTTAAGTGAAAAGAGGGATTTTTTTCCAGATCAATTGCTTTTATATATTAAATGAAATGTATATTTATCATTACAATATATATGTGATGTATATTTCAGAGTCATATGATGTAGATTCACATGCACATGGATTAAAACTACTATTTTAAATCTCTTAAAGACTTTTGGGTCAGGCATTTATTTATATAAGCTTGATAGTTGGATCAATTCTTCGTTCCTCGGGAAACGTTAAATATGGATTTATTTAGTTATTTGGTATTTTATTTAGACGCTTCTTAGTGGTGATAAGTGGTAATTCCGGAGGCCCGTGAAGGCGTCTGGTACATTGCTGATCTTTGTGCGAAGCGGAGCAGCGGCGGTGAACGGGCTCACTGTGAGCACAGGAACACAGGGGGGAACAACGACTCTGTAGGCCTGGAAACGATCCCAACAGCGACTAAAGAGCCATAGCGACGATCCTAAAATGGTAAGAATGTGTTTTAAAGCCCTGATTGGTATTTATTGGCGTTAATCTCTGATGGCTTTAGCTAAAAGCTAGCTGGCTAGTGCTACACGGTTAGCAGAGTGTTTTCCTGACTCATTATCGACGTTAAGGCTGCCATTTTACACCAGGTACCCTGCCTGCTCCGGCCACTGCCTCTACCCCACAGGACACACCGGTTATCTATAAAGATACCAGAGTTAACATGATGTTCAGCTGGGTGGGTAACCTTTAGGAATCCGCGGTGTTCCGTGTCTAAAAGCTCGTCCACCCCAGCGGCTAATGCCGTGGAGCTAACAGGCTAATATGAAGCTAATGAGACTTAGCACCAGTGTTGCGTAGCTGTGTCGAACTTCGACCAGAAGCAACTAAA